TTAACTTTATTTGTAAAAATAAAAATTCGCAGTCTAATTATATTAGTTGGCCAGTAAATTTAATTACATAGCTCAGTTTGATTATTCTACAGTTCGGATTATACGGGGAATAGACAAACGCGATTAGCGTGACGTATTCCATTTCATGCACTGTCATTAGCAACGGAGAAAAATCTGTATATACGGTCGGGGCGTTGTGACTTATATCGCGTTCGAACGGCGAAAGTCAATTAGATTCGAGTAACGTCCTCGTCGAGTTTACGAGCGGGTATCGTGTAGGTGCGAACTGTTGTAATAGAAGCTGCCACGGGTATCGTGAAATAGCAATTATGAGGCGCCTACTTAGCTGTTATCTGGCACCGAACTTTCCGTACATCACTGACCAAAAGTTTCTAGCGTGTCTTATAGAAGCGCGAAATCTTTGCATATTGTCTCTTGGTAATTTGGAATTTTTAGTCGGTAGTGTACTGCGATCTGTGTGTGTACTAAGACGCCAAGGTGTTGCTCGGACCGATAAGAACTGTCCAAGCCCGGACACCTTGTTCGAGATACGTTATCGATCCTGCGGAATGGCTAATTAGCGAGCAGCGTTATGCTCGTTATGTTTACCAATATAACCAAGTGCTCCGTGACGGGTCCAGGTATGTTGAGGGCCTCTTGGCTCGGTCTTATCGTACCCAGCCACGCCCTTGTGCTCGCCACCTCGAACATTCCTAAACGATCACTGAAATAATCCGAGAAAGCTTTATACGTATACATATGTGTACACGTATTTAATTTAATACGAGTATACATAATTCTCAATTCAATTCTACACGAACATAACGCAATCCAGCAAAAAAAGTTTCTCGTTTTTTACAAATATTCATTATGTGATTCACGTAATTTCGTCGTACAGTATAATTAGTATTCTGAAGACAAATCATATAAATTGAATTTCGTTATCATTAAGTATTGACGCGATAAGGAAAAAGGATAAGGATAATAGTTTGCGAGTGTAAAAGAATAGGAATTTTTAACTGAATTTACCCATTGATGAAGGATTTTCCATCCTTGGTTCGCACTATTATTCTGGATTTCGAGGGCTCGACCTCCTCTACCCGGATGTTGGTCGCTCCAGCCGGGACATCAGTTATTTTCTTAGGCTCTGTTGAAAAATTCCCTTCACCCGTTGCGATTATCGGAAGTTTTCTAACTCGCGCGGTCCGCGTACAACGCGCGACGACGACGACGTAGCATCGGTATCGACCCGGGAATAAGAGATTTATTCGTTGAAAGCCGAGAGAACGGCGGAGATTCTTCGGGAAATACTTGACGAAGTTCTCGCACTTTTCACGGTTCTATCGCCCTTTATCCGCGCGGAATTTCAACTTCCCCAACGCTGGACGTTTTATTTATTGCGATTACGGATTCTTTCGCGACTCGTACCAAATCCAACTGAATCGCATTCTATGATTGAACAACTAACTATTCAACACCGTGTACCATACTTTATCGTTGACGTTGGCACACGTGTACGTTCAGTCCTTTACAAATTAAAATTATTCTAAGTGAAAAAAATTACTCATAATAAAAAAATAATTAAATCGATTCCTTTCATTTTAAAAAATTTGTTCCTGAAGAGATTAGAGAACTTGGAGATCATTTCTTAATCTCTCTAGAGACATTGGCACACGTTTAGATTTTAAAACATTAAACTTATTCTAAGTGAAAAACCAGATTATTTGTAATAAAAAAAATAATTAAATCGATTTTCTTCACTTAAAAAGTTCGTCCCTGAGGAGATTAAAAGAACTTGAAGAAATGGCTAAGAAATTGTTATTAGAAATACTTAAAAGATTTTATAAGGCACAAGCGTGAACACAGCGTGAGAGAACTGTCGGCTATAAAATCACCCGTGAATGAAGAGGATCGTGCAGAATGTCAAACGCGTTCAGGGAACGCGCACGAACTGAACTGAACTGAGCTGATCGAGTTTTAAAGAAGCTGGCCGTCTCAACTCGATAATAAAACGGTAACTGTAAAAGCGAGCCGTAAAGGCTAAAGGGTGATTAGGAAGGTAAGTAAAACGCGTGATGAAATTTCAAAGGAGGAACGAGAGCGAGACGATCGAGAGGAGGGTATGGTAAATTAGACTCACGCGAGGCTGCCTGGATCGTTATCTTGCCCTCTTTGAGGCTGCACGAGGTACCGTTACCCTTGCAGACGCCGCACACATCTTCGACGGCGTTCGACTCCATGTTCAGGTCGCAGGGGATCTCTCGGCAGACGCCGTCGACGCAGACATCGCGGATGCCCCTGTAGCAAGTAGTACCGTCGACGACTCTTGCTCTCAGGGAAGCTACCACGTTTGTCTCGCTTAAACAGTACAGGCCGCATGGGTCTTCCGATGCCTTTAGATCTGTTGATCCGATTTACTTGTTCTCAACAAATTTTTACTGCTCCGACATTGTATTATAAAGATACTATGGACTTTTATGC